AATTTTTCAACAGCCCGTCTATTTCCTCGCCGCTCCTCGTACGCGGGCGTCTTCGGAGTTCGGTTTCACCATCGAACATATCCTTGCATTTCCTCCACGGGTCATCGTCGCGAAGCCACCTTCGATGTCCCATGAACACGGTTTTTGAAGACCCGTGATCTCTATCTAGCTGGCGATACATTATGTCATCCATGCACCTGACGCATCCAGAAAATCCGTGGACCACCTGCCCCGCGAGATATCCGTAACCGAGATAGTCATGCACCACCGTCAGCAGTGAGGCTCTCATAGGGAAATATTCTTTCTCTGCAGCGTCCCACGTATCGGCTGGCGTTTTCCACAACGTGTCTAGCTCCTCTTTCAGCAGCCCCAGATACAGATTGATGTCGTTCCCTGGTTGTTTCGGCCCTTCAATTAGCATTCTCATGTGAATGTACTTCCTCTTCATGCACAACCAGGGGGGAAGGTTGTACATCCACACAAACACAGGCCAGGTGCTATGTGTGCTTCTCTGGCTGCCAAACGGATTGACTCCATCGGTGCTCGCGCCCAGCACGATGTTCCTTGGATCCTTCCCAAATTCTGGGTGTTCGAAGTTCAACGCTTGCCACTGGCTCCCATCCTTAGGGTGACTCAGCACCTTGTCTTTTTTATTTATCTCCGGATCATTTGCGTCATCTTCTTGCTTCTTCTCCTCCCTATCCGCGTGCCAACGCAGAAGCTTTGCTACCTTAGGGTCCGCGAAATACCGCTGCAGACAAGGAGTGATCAGAAAGTACCACACCACTTTTCGAGGAGCTTTCTTCCTCTTCTTGTATTGAGTGACGCCGCACACTGGACATATGGTAGACTCCGCGTGCTCGCTCCGATAAATGATGCAATTGTTCATGCACACATGGTATTTCACGTGCAGTAAATCCAGAGGACACACGACTTTCTTCGCCTCCTCGAAACTGGTCGGGCACTTGTTCTCCTTGGGAAGACGTTCGTGCCAGAATGACATGTTCTCGTCGAAGCATGCGTCGGTCATTTTGTGTTTTACCTTCATCTCCAAAGCCATGAGCGTTACTTTTAGGCGGGTATCCTCGGGTCTGCATCCTTCATACAATGGAGTAACCGCGTCTATCTCCAGTTGATCCATCTTGCCTTTCTCTCGGGCGGCAGCTCTTGCGTTATCCGTCTGCTTGAGAAGCAGCTCTTGAATATGAGGGTCCTGCACCCAGCCCATCGATGGTCCATCATCGTCTACTCCTCCGGCATCTAGATCTTCATGATCATGCCCTTCGTCTGCTCCGGCATCTTCCTCATCATCATGTCCGGCATCTTCTACATGATGACTGTGTACAACATCACCGTCGTGATCATGTCCTGGAGATTCTTTGTCTTCTCGCCCGTCCGAGCCGCGGTGGTTGTCTTGCTGGCCTTCCTCATTTCTTGCCCGGCCCCCATGGACGACTTCATAGTCATCTTCATCACCTTGCCACCGATAGCCATCCATGAAACCACGCAAGAGCAGGTGGTCCCGCACCTGCCCGGAATCCGGGTCCGCAATAAGGCTCTTCAGCTTGCATCTTCGACACGGACATCTTATCTCCAACTCATTCTTTTGAAGCATCTCGGCCTTCGTGGAGTTCAAAAACCTATTCACGATGCCTTCGGTCATCGTGCGAACCATGGTCGCCTACGGGGTAGAGCAAAACGATATTTTAGAACCAAGAAAAAATTTGGCATGACTTTCCCTAAAAATAGGACCAAAAAGAATGCATAGTGCCAAAATTCTCGCCGAAACGGAAATTAATCAACATTCCGGCAAAATATTGGCAACTATCACATTTCAAATACCGGTACCTGCAAACACAAACATATATGCAACACCACAAACATATGCAACACCACAAACATACATAGATCTAGCTAGGCCACAAAAAGTGCATGTGCACGTTGTTGGAGCGAGCTAGGGAGAAAAAAAGTAGATCTACAACATGAAGATAGCTTTCCCCTTACTTACCTATAAAAAAAAGGTAATTTCAACACTTAATTTTGATGAATATATGGTGCAAATGAGGTGAGGAGGAGGAGGCAGCCGACAAGCTTAGAGAAGGAGGTGGGGGGAATGAAGTGGGGAAAGTGAGTGTGTAGGTGTGGCTGTCCAAAAATATCTAGCTGGTCCCAAGTTACTAATGGCGCACCACACAGACATGCGCCATTAGTAACCCAACATACTAATGGCGCACCACACAGACATGCGCCATTAGTAGTTTTGCAAAAAAAGTAAAAAAAAATAATTTTTATACTAATGGCGCACCGTGGCACAGTGCGTCATTACTAGTTTAAACTAGTAATGGCGCACTATGCAATGGTGCGCCATTAATAGTTTTGCAAAAAAATAAAAAAATATATAGTAGTGACGCACTCTATGGCTGGTGCGCCATTAGTAGTTCTAACTACTAATGGCGCACTCTGCCCGGATGCGTCATTAGTATGTTTGAAAAAAATGAAAAAAACATTTTGTTACTAGTGGCGCACCAACAGATGGTGCGCCATTAGTATATAGTAATGGCGCACCACATGTCTGGTGCGCCATTAGTGTCAATTCCATCTATAGCCCTTTTTCTAGTAGTGTCTTCCGCGAGTACCATCTCCAGGAGCACGCCGATGGCTCCGTCGATGCCAAGGCCATGCAGTTTGATCCCGAGTGGTCGGCCGTCGACGCCCCCCATCCACACCGTCCTCGCCGCGGGCACCTCGCGCGGTCCGCCCCCTCCGCAGCCGCCCCTGGCTCCCTTCCACCCGCCGGCGCCGTTCTCGCACCCGCAGCGGACGGCTCCAGCGCCCGCTCCTGCCGCTGATCGTGGTGGGCACCGAGGCAAGGGAGGGTGCAAGGGCCAGCAGCAGGGGGGGGGGCCCAGGCCGGCCCACACTAGCAGCAGCAACCCACGCCTCCGTGGGCCTTCGGGCACAACCCGTGGACTGGGGTAGTCCACGAGTACTCGATGCCAGTACCCCGCGCGCCGGCACCAGGGATCCTCAGTCCATGTCCCGCCCAGCACCAGGCTCACCTCGCCGCTCCTCAGCTGTTCGGCGCCAACCCGGCCCTTCCGGCGCCTCCCCACCAGCCCGGTGCCCCTGCCATGTCGCGACCTCTGCCGCCCACCGTGGGATCCGGCGCTCCTTGCGGCGCTACCTCTTCGGCTTTTCATTTTTTTCAGAGGTCTTCTTTAGCTTTTGGACAATTTTTTTAAAAGAATTTTACGCGAAAAATTGTATTTTTTTCGTGAGAGGCATGAATTTGCTTCCGCGAGAGGCACGACCATACCTTTCGGAAATGAAAAAAAGTGTTTTCTCTTATTCTTTTAACTTTCGCATTAGGCTTGGATTTGCTTCCACGAGAGGCACGCTTTTGCTTCCGCAAGAGGCACAGCCGTGCCTCTCGAAAACGAAAAAAAAGTTTTCTTTTCTTTTTTCCTTCTGTGAGAGGCACGATTTTGTTTCCGCGAGAGGCCATGCCTCTCGGAAAACCAAAAAAACATGTTTTCCCTTTCTTTTTTCTTCCGTGAGCGGCATGATTTTGCTTCCGCGAGAGGCACACTTTTGCTTCCGTGCCTCTTGGAAAAAAAATGTGTTTCTTCTTTTTTTTCCGCAAGAGGCACAGTTTTGCTTTCGCGAGTGCACGGCCGTGCCTCTCCAAAACGGGCTTTCGGAAAGGAAAAAGTGCTATCGGTACGTTTTTTCAACCATTTTTTTTCTGAAAAAAATCGTCAAATCCTATCAAAATGGGATTTAGTTTTGATGATTTCGACGCGAGGAACCCAATGGTGAAAACAGTTCGAGATCGGATGCACGGTTTAAAAAATAAAATATTTTGAATAAACAGATCTAAAAAAAAAATCATGGTTTGGAAGAAGTACTCGTCAATTAGTGATTTCGCTAGTTTGACCACAAAATTTTCTTGAAGAAACCGTTTGCCCTAAAAAAAGACCAGCACGTACAAGAGCTACATGACTTGGTTTCGGACAGAACAGAATCGCTTGTCCTCCCCATATTCTTCCTATCTATGTAAGCACTGCGTTACATAGACATCGAATCCGCTATCGAATATCAAATCAATGGTCGATATCGAGAACCCGCCTGCCCCCAGCGCTAGTCCCGCTGGAGACGCTGCCGGCGGTGACGACGCAGCGTCAGCGACGGCGGAGCCCAGCCGGCACAGCTTCTGGGCATGGAAGGAGAGGTTCGTCATCACCTACTTCACCTACAACCCTCCCGACCCCGGAGACGACGAGGTCGCGGCCGTGGATGCCGACGAGTGCAGCGGGTGCGGCTTTATCTGTGTGGGGTCTCTGGCCGGGCTCCTCGTCTTTCTCGGCTCCCTGCTTCTCCTGCTCTTCTTCGTGGCCATGCGCGTCCCAATCCGCCGTTGGATCGGTCGTCTACGTGGCCACGCGCGTCCTCGCCATGGCTGGCATGCTTTTCGGGTTTTGCTCCGCCGGCCTCTTTCTTGACCTTTGGGACAGGATGGATAAGGGTGATAAACATGCAGAGGTGATTATAGACAGGATGATGTAGATAAAATTTTTGAACAGGTTGATGTACAGTACTTTGCAGTGAAATACCAGTTCATATTCCAGACGTACGTGATTGCTGTGACGGACATGGAGGCGGAGGTCATCAGATAGACTTGTTAGTGTAAATTCAATCAAATTGTATTATGTATTCATCCATATTTGCGTTTCTGAATTACGTACATAGTTTTGCTAAACAGATGTACTTGTCTTCTTGGAGTTTGCTGTACATACATGATCCTTCATTTTATTTCAAAAATTCCCAACACTAGTGCAGAACCGTCCATCGCACACGGCTAAAACTCCCTATCACAAACACATTAAAATGTACACTTATACTATACAACAACAATACACATCCGGAACAGCTGCTTGATAGAAATTGTTACAGGAATATGGCTACGGAGGTGGGATAACGAAACAAGGGAATCGATTGCATTACAAGGGCATGAACTCCTCATCGATTACCTTGTAGTGCTTCTTGGCGTCGTACTGCTGCACGATGAGCACGGACGCCGTCGTTGAGAAGTCCGAGGAGGCGAGGATGTCGCCGACGGGGCCGAGCTCCAGGCACTCGGCCCACTCCTCCAGCCCCTCGGTGAGCACCGAGTTGCGGTCCCTCCCTCGGCCCACCACGAACAACCGGTAGTCCCCCTGCATCCCCCGCAGCACCGCCACGAGCTCCGCCCCGTCCGCCACGTGCTTCTCCATGTACCCGACGGACTTGTTGCCGGCGACGTGCTTCCGGTAGAACTCGGCGAAGAACTTGTCGTCCGCCCGCGCCTGCAGCTCCTCCTGCCCGGTCGTCGTCGCCGCCAGAGGCATGTGCCGCTTGCTCTTGGACTCGAAGAGGCTCGTGCGCGCCTTGGCCCGCGCCTGCGCCGTCGCGTTCTGCACCACCCGTAGCGCCGTGAGCCGCACCGAGGCCCGCTGCTTGCACATGAAGGACGCCAGCGTGAGCGCCTCCCGGTCGTCCGCGCCGCCGATGAAGAGCACCGCCACAGACGCCTGCGCCGTGCTGTCTGGACGATGCTGCTTGCCGAGGCCGCGGTCCACGATGATCCCCACCGAGCATGGCGCCAGCTGTAGCACCTTTTGGTTCACCAGCCGGAACCCGAAGTGGCCGCCGTCCATGGTGCCGTCCAGGCACTGTGTCTTGTGGAACGGCACTAGGATCAACGCCGCCATGGCGTCCTCGGCGCAGATGCACATGTCACTGTGCATGTCCGGGAACGACGACAGCGCCAGCAGCCGGCGCACCTTCACCTTGCCGCCCTCGCCACCGCACTCCGCCCGGTACGCGTCTAGCGCCTCGCCGATGAGCTTCCGCATCTCCGACACCTCCTCGTCCACCACCGTCACGCCGTCCAACCCGCCGCTTTTCACGATTGAAGAAGCCGTCTGGTCCGTCAGCTGCACCATGTCAACGGCGTAGCACGCGATCTCGCCGTTGCCGGCGCCCCACCGGAGCGACTCCATGAGGAACGCGAGCGTCGGCACTTCCTGCGGGCCGCGGAGGCCGGCGACGAGGCGCAGCTCCGTCGAGGGGTCGTGGTGTTGGAGGCCCATGAGGCGCCACTGCACGCTCCGGCGTGCCCAGGAGGCGATCCCCATCCCCACCATGGGCGTGACGGCAACGTTGAGCGCCACCACGAAGATGATGGCCATGAAGGACTTGTCGGTGATGATGCCGGCCTCGAAGGCGGCTAGCGCACAGTAGATGTGGAAGTAGCCCTTGACGTTGAGCAGCATGCCGAGCGCGAGCGCCTCGAGCCAGCCGAGGCCCCGGAGCAGGCCGACGCCGGTGCAGCCGACGAGCTTGCCGAGCGTGCCCATGGAGGTGGCCAAGAAGACCTTCCACCATGGGAAGGGCAGCTGCATGACGTAGGCGCGGAGGCCCTCGTCGGGCTTGAGGCCCGCGACCTCGATGTCGTCGGTGGTCTGCCGGAGCGAGAGGCAGACGTGGGCGACGTAGAGCGGCAGCACGAAGGAGGAGAGCACGAAGTTGATCTTGCTGACGAGCAACCGCGACACCCGGCCGTCGCTGGGGAAGGCGAGGCCGACGAGGAAGGCGGCCATGTTGATGTCGAGGCGGAGCACGGAGATGAACCAGCAGAGCGTGGCGGCCACGAGCGCTACGAGGGAAAGGTCGAAGCCGCGCATGCGCCGGCCCTCGGGGTTGCGGCCGTCCACCCAGTCGGCCATGGCCCGGGACATGAAGGCGGACATGACGACGACCGCGAGGACGGACGCCGTGAGCGCGGGCTGGGCGAAGGGCGCGGCGGCGTCGGCGTCACTGTCACGCCAGATCATGCTGCCGAGCGCGATGAGCAGGGTGGTGACCATGTCGGAGGTGATGCCGGCGCCGACGGCGAGGCGGCCGACGTTGGTCTTGGCGATCTTGAGGTCGGTGGCGAGGCGGGTGAGGACAGGGGAGGCCGTGTTGGCGAGCGCGGCGGCGAGGCCGAGGAAGGCGCGGAGGGAGCGCTCGTGGACGATGCCCGTGTGGGTACGAGAGGTGGAGGTGATGGCGCCGTGGCAGAGCGTCACGAGGACGCAGGTGGAGGCGATGCCGGCGTAGGCGATGACGGCGTCGGCGGCGGGGCTGTCGAGGAGCGAGAAGGGATCCATCTCGACGCCGAGCGCGAAGAGGTAGGGCGCGAAGATGAAGCCGCCGATCTTGCCGAACACCAGGTTGATGGCGTTGGTGATGGAGAGGACGCGGAACTGCGCGAGGATGATGCCCAGCTGCCATTGCCGCATTCGCCATTGCCAACAGGAAAGGAATGTCAATGGCGATCGCCAAGAAAGAGAAAGAGAGAGAAACAAAGGGAATTAATGGCGATCGTGGAGAAGGCGTACGAGGAGGTCGGAGAAGACGCGGGGCTGGTAGACGTTGCGGAGGAGGGCGTACAAGATCTTGCTGGTGACGAGGATGACGCCGAACTCGAACAGCACCGTGTTGTAGTTGGCCGACAGCACGCTGCTCGTCATCGAGCAATCCATGGCGGCCGCTGCTCTTGAATCCAATCAGATCCAATCCAAGATCGATCCTCTTCAATTCCTCTTGGATTACACCCACGCGTACGGCGCGTTGCGTACCAACTAACTACTTTATTTTATTGTGGATTCGATCGACGAAGAACAGCAGGAAGAAGATTAATTGACTCTGGTTTGATTGATTTGACCATCAACAGGGGAACCAGGGGGAGCAGCCGGAAGTGTGGAAGAGAGCATTTTGCGGGGGTTATTGCATGCGAAGTGCTTTCTAGCTCTTCCCTTTTCTGAAACTTTCGAGCTGCTAGATATCATGCTGCATTCAGGTCAGATAAATATAGCACCCTGATTTTTTGCCACCGTGGCGGCCACGACATCTTCTAACTTTGGGAAATGTAATTCCGCCGCGGGTGCTTAGGGCATATACAATAGTGCTATCTTAGAAGTGCCACGTAGGATAAATGATGAGGTGAAGGAGAGAGAACTCATAAGAAAAGACTTGTCTTATCTTATTTAAGAGAAGACAAGAGATGATCTCTTAGCACAATATGTCTCACCATATTTTCTTGAAAACACGAACGCCCACAGCCAACTCGCTCACACGCGTCAATCGTCGTCCATTCCTATTTGCACAAATCTTGGCACGAAGCTCGTGATTTTGTGTGCCACGTAGGACAAGTCGATTGTGTGGCATGTAAGATAGTTCGCCCGCACGCCGTTTTCGTTCCGAAGTCAGTGGTTGCGAGTCCGGGCGTGCGGTGGAACTGTCGTCGCGCCCGCACGCCACGCCCATCATCGGTTGCCGCATCCCTCGTCTCGCCACTTTGCTCTCCACTCGCGGTTTAGTTTACTCCCCTCCCCATTCACTTCTCCCCAACCCACCCATTCACACCAGTTGCAATCGATTGCAAGGAGAAACCGAGAGGAGAAGGCGACGGCGGAGGCGGCAGAAGAGTCGACCGCATTCGCGGCCGTTGGTGGGGCTCGACGGACCGGAGTGTCGTCGCCGGAGAGCGGCAGATTGAAGGTAAGGCTCCTTCACGTGCTCACATTTACCTGCCCGCGATTTTGCGCCCCCTCCCTGTTTGGACAATTTCCTATCGAGTTTCGTCGAGACTCCGACCGATTCAAGGTGCTTCGACGTCCTCGTCGACGGTGGAGTCGCGTGCTTGCCATCTAGGGAGACATTGTGCAGTTTTGTCGCCGCCGCGGCGGCAGTCATGCCGGTGTGGGCCAAATCCTTCCCCGTCCCCATCCGCGGCCTAATCTGTTGTTTGCCTTGTGATTGAGCGGGTGATTTGCCTCGGAATGCTATGGCCATCAGTATAGTGAGTACTTTGTTTGTCAATTTTCAAGATATGATAGTTGCGAATGAACCCTAGATCTAGGTAGTTGAATTTCAAAGTGTAGCATAATGGCAGCCATGGCATTTACAGCAACTGTCATCACTGATGGCAACTAATTTCCTGATCAACTGTGTCAATTGCCAGCAATATGCTTACCATGTGGCAACTAATTTTGCGAACACACCATGCTGTTGCCACGCTACTATCATCACTGATGGCGAATAATTTCGTGATCAAGTGTGTGAGTTGCCACAAATATGCTTTACATGTGGCAACTAAGTTTTCTGAGCACACTGTGCCTGTTGCCATGACACTATCATCACTGATGGCAACTAATTTCCTGAACAATTGTGTCAGTTTTGCGATGATTATGCTTTCCATGTGGCAACCAAGTTTTGTGAGCACACTATGCCTATTGCCATGCCATATCCAAGAATCAGTTTGCGTTTGCCATGCTGGCTTGCGATACCTGAATGCTTTCTTGACTGCATTACATGGCAACTCATTTTTATGTGAGAGCAGGGTGTGAGTTGCCACATTACATGTTGTGTAGTGGAAGTTGTGTGCCTTTTTTTCAAATGCCTTTTGTTTGACACGGCAACTTTGAACATAGTATAGTTGCTACTTGTGAATACATGGCAACTCATTTTTATGTGATGCCAGGGTGTGAGTGACCTTATTACATGCTGAGCAGTGGAAGTTGTGTGCCCTTTTTTGGAGTGCCTTGTGTTTAACATGGCAACTTGAACATATAAGAAGTGTTCTGTACATTTTTTATAAAGCCAATGTGTTAGTTGCCACATCTCATGTTCGGCAATCCTAGGGGGTGGGGGAGTGGGTGTTCAAATGCTCTGCCTCATTTGCCACTTTAATTGGAGCCAACATGGCAAGTAGACTGCGCTAGCTGGCAAGTGCTCCCTTGATCAACACGTGCATGTCCAGTTGCCATGTTTCTGCAGTTTCTCTTGCATTTGACTATTTTTCTGCCTTTTTGTGCATGCTCAGCACATGGCAATTACCGCCCTCTTCAGATGTTTAAACTTTGGGTAGCCACGGAGTTTTTATTTTTGTTCATCGATGATATCCAGTGAATATTTTACTTTATGCATTTCTTTCTGTATCCGTCGGCTGTGTTTTCATTTCAGCATAATGCGTGTTTTGTTCTTGTTGCAGCACAATGGCTAGTGGCGACCATCAAGACGATGATGATGACTTCATGGGTGCACCGCAACAGAATCGCCCGACTGGTCAGGCAAAAGATGGCGAAGAGGTAACTTTCCACCCCCATGTGTTTTTCAATGTCACATTGTGTTTTCAATCTTTGGTTAGGGCTAAATTTTTCATGACATTGAACATGGCAACAAATGATCCTTTTGCTGTTATGCAGAAGAAGAAACATCTTCGCAATAGGGCTTCGCAAGAACGCCTGACCATTTTGAATGAAGGATTTACTGATGAGCAGAAGGGAGCTGCGGGTGTCATGGGGATGCAGGCTCTGATGGATGTTCGCTGCAAGAACTTAGTGAACCCTGTATGCGACTGGCTCAGTGAGATTTATGATCCTGCCTCCAAAGAATTTGTGATTCCGGGACGGGGAAGACTACCTTTGGATGAGGATTCGGTGTTTTGCACTTTGGGTGTGCCCCATGGAGAAATCACAGTCCCGTATGAGGTGAACAATATGATTGAGGAAGCCCTGTTCCCCCGTTTGTTTCCTGGGATGTCAACCATGCCGAATACGACTGCGCTGGCAACTTCGCTGGAAGACATGACAACCCATGGCGAGGTATTTAAGATGAAGCTACTCATGTACTTGATCTCAGCTGTCTTTGCGCCTACCACATCTCTTCGCCCAAGCAACAAGTGCTTCCCCATCCTGGTGAGTGCTCTTTCTCAACTTCTTTGTTCCCTTAAATTCTTTTTTATTCTGATGTCATCTGGAAGCTAGTCATTGCCAGTTTTGATGCTTTCATTTGAATGCTGATGCGACAACTTTTGTTGTCCTACATTTTTGTGTTGTGCAGGCGAAGCTGAAAAACGTGGAGAAAATGAATTGGTGTAAATTCATCGCTGACTTCCTGCATGATGCATTCTCAATCAAGATGTACCAGAAAGGGTTGTCGCTTGCACCTAATGGTATTTTTTCCCACTCTTTTGCAAATACTCTTATCATGGTTCAATGATTTTTCATAAATCAACATCACAAGCGGTTGATAAGTGTGAACCATACAAGATCGTGCATGGCAACTGTACAAGATCGTGCACGACAACCCTTTTGTTTCATTTTTTATGTGAATCCTTTTACATGAAAAAGTGACTTTTGTTTGATCTATGTCAACTGTTGTTGCTGCCTACAAGGCAATAGCATTTTCAACAACACAATAAAGTGTTCATTTCATACATTCAATCTTTTTTATACAATCTGTATGGCAACCATGATGCTGAGGTGGTGGCAGCTACCATCATAACAAGATGGCAACTGCCAACAAAGCATGATGGCAGATAACATAGATACATGGCAAATGTTTTTCTTTCATTCTCTTCAATTTGATGACTCAAGATGGCAACCATCATGCTTCCTTGTCACCGTAGCATTATTGCAACTCACATAGCTTCCTTTTTTATTGTGTGTACCAGCATTTTTCAACAACACAAAAAATGATTTATTTCATACATTCATTATCTCTTATACAATCTGCATGGCAACTACCAGTATAACCAGATGGCAACTGTAACACAAGCATGATGGCAACCAACATAGATAGATGGCAAATCCTTTCATCTCCATTCTCTTCAACTTGATGACTGAAGAAAGCTACATAAGCATGATTGAAAATGACATAGGTTCCTTTTTTTGTGTGTATACCAGCTCATGTATGTCGATGCTCTTGATCTGTCCACCGTTGACTTTACTGGGATAGGAGGCCCGCCGCCTGCACATAAGTTTGTTGTATCTGCGTGGACGGACGCTGCTGTGAAGGTTGTGCTTGCCGCAGATAGGATAACCGATGTGAAATATGGAAAACTGCAGGTTAGTTTTGCCTTCTTTCTTGCACGTCATTCTTCAATTTTGGATGTTGTATAACATGTGGAAAATCCCCGTACGGCAATCATGTATGGCTAACAAGAGATAAATACCTTTGGCATGCATGGCTGTCTGCACATGGCAACCATGTCTGACCACATATGGCAACTCCGCCATCCGTGTTGGAAGTCCTTTTTTATTTTCCTCCTTTTTTGCAATACATGAATTTTTAGTCACTGCACCTTACTTCTCTCTCATATCTTAGCTGTCTTTTGCTGGTTTTACAGCTGATGGCCAAGAATGCCATAGACTACAGTGTGTTTGGTGGGCCACAAAAGTTTGGCAAGTGGATGGATGTGCATTCAGCTCCATCTTGTCCTACTGAGGTAATCAAGGATGTTCATTTTGTCTTTTGGAAATTGTGTTTTTCTCTTTTGCATTTTTCATATATATCTTATGGTTGTCTTGGTTTTTTTGTTCCTACGCACATGACTCTAATATCTTTGGTTTTTGCTACTTTTCTGTTTTTTGTGCTCAGGCGAGGGCACATGTCGAGCATCTAGTTAGGCAGTTTGCCTTCGGCATGACCAGCTTGCTATGGAAGTTGGTTGAGGGTTGGACGACACTTAATGGATCCG